GGAGTTTGAAAGGTTTGTCCTCCTGGTGTTTGGAAGGCATGCCCCTCGCTCCACCATGTGTTGGGTCTTGACAAAGAAATGACCTGCGCGCTGGAGGATGTGTGGATCAGAAAATACTAGGGCTGGGGAAATTAACGATTAATTACCCGATTAATCGTTAAGATTATTTTGATCAATAATGAAAACACTCGCCTCTCCGCCGGCTTCCGGGTCTTCCGGTGACGTCGATGTCCGTGACGTCACCGGACTCCTCCCTCCTTCCCTTCGTTAGCCGACGAAGCCACTTGGGCCGGTGATCTGTCGACACTTATCGAGTTCTGCGACCGCCTGACTTCCGGTTTCGTTACAACTAACAGGTTTGCCCAAGAAACTTTCTGCAGGAGCGCCAGCCAAGGCATTGGGTCTATACACATACAGCACAGCAATGAAGTAATAAAATGAACTAGGATCACACTAATCCAGCACGTTATTATTCTGAGTTGCCCCACTCAAGCGGCGGCCATATTGAGTGAGGCACGTGAGATTAATAACGTGCTGGATTAGTGTGATCCTAGTTCATTTTATGACTTCATAGCTGTGCTGTATCTGTATAGGCCAATGTAGTTGGATCTGTATGTGCGTTATAATTGATCGAAATCAATCGATTAAAAAAAAAATTTGATTAGTCGAACACAAAAACTTTAATCAGTAACAGCCCTACAAAATACATTACAAATACAATACATAGAATTACACGGCGGTGGCGCTTCCTCATTATCAGATACAATGGTTGGGGGTGATTTACCAAAGGAGTGGAGTCTGTCCTCCAAGCAGAGTGAATGTTAGTGAATAGCGTGAAGCGGCATAAATATGTTTCATCCTTTCAGCTTACAGGGTTGTTCACTAACCTACCGGAGGCAGCCGAGGGAATAACCGAGCCGAAGTGAAGTGAGGAACAACGTTCGGCTGTTCACTACGGCTCAGTACGGCTGATTTCAGCCGTACATCGGCTGCCTTTGGCTGCACTTCGCTCAGCCGCAGTCCAGAAGGACTTCGACTCGGCCGATCCAACATCTGGATCGGCTGAGCCGAAGCTCTGGCAGCTCACTCACTGCCGTTCGCCCCTATTTTCATATATTCTCATAGGGGCCGAACAGCAGAGAGTGAGTAGCCGATTGCCGCTGACGGGCATTCTGCTCGGCTATTCTGCTCGGTACCTCCGTGGTACCGAGCAGAATAGGAAATCAATGGGAAAAAAGTTGAAAAAAAGATTATAAAAATTTATATAAATGTTAAATCTAAAAAAAAGAAAGATTTAAAAAAAAAAAACAATTGGGAGGAGCTAGCAGTGACAGCGAGCTCCGCCAAACTGTTTCCTATTGCCCGGCACCTGCTAGAGTCTTCTAGCCGGTCCCGGCCAATGAATAACAACTGGCCGGAGCCGGCCGTCTCTGCCCAGTTGTCATTGTTTAATGACAGTTCAGCATGTCAGGTCATTTGGGGACGCTGATCTGTCATTACAACTGGGCGGAGCCATCCACCCAGCTGTCATTTGCGAGGCCTTTGGCAGGCCATTCGCCCCGCTTGGGCTGTCACTTCGGCTGAGCCACTCGGCCGCCTTCGGCAGCTGTACGAGCTACAGTGAATAGCCCATATAGCAGCCCTTCAGTTCGACTGAGACAATTGAGCTCAATGGCACCGCAGCCTCACCCCCACCAGCGGTGCGATCGTCGGCACCCGAACGCGTGGCACATTCATGCCGGGTTCCGGTTTTTGCAGATCGCAACTGTAGTTGCTTTTTTATTTAATTCTGACGGCAGCAGCTGTCAGAATACTAAAAAAAAAAACAGCAGATAGCAAAAAAGCTATTGTTTCCTGTGCTATCTGCTATCATTTCAGAGGGGTGTTAAAAAAGGGGGGGGGGGGGCAGAATGCACTTCCCTGAAATGAGAAGGGCACCTCCCTGAAATAGTTTTTTTTTCAGGTTGGGATCCCTGTGAATGCCATGCGGGTCTGGGAGCCTCAGCTTTAGTATTAGATGTATATACTGTTTACGGCTCCCATGTTGCCATGACGTAAATTCATATTCAGACCCATTCGGATGCAATAAACAGAAAAACACATCTGATTGGCCAGAAAAGCCACACGTCCCATTTAGTTTAGTTTTTGAACAAAATTCGGACGGGAGTCTGAAATTCATATTTGGACACATTCGGATGCATTGGGATTCGGAAATTCGGATGCGTTAGAATTTTTCGGGAATATTCGTACAAATTTTGATTTAGAAACAATGCGAATCGCACATGTCTGCTGTCTGGCTTCTGAGTCCCGGACATGGAACAGGCATGCTGGAGATAGAAGTCAGGCTTCCTTACTGTCTGGGTCGTAGGACTGCAACTAGTATACAGAGGAGGATTTGGGTATTTTCTCTGAGGATCAGCATGACAGATAGATGCCAGTTATCAGAAGGAGAGTTGCAGCACCAATGGCGACCTCATGACAGGTTCCCTTTAGTTACATATAGATCAGCTTTGCTCCCCCCTCCCCATCCCCCGGCATTATCTTAATTCCTACCTGACTCTTCTCACACCTTTGAATCCTCTTATCTGGTATTGATCTTTCTGTATCATCAGGTCCCACGCTGCTGATAAACTGATCCCATTTCTTCCCCGAGGACAGACTCCATCATACGCACCGCACAGCCGACACCGTGTCCTCTGCAGCACCAGAAGAAGCGCAGTCAGCATTCCAATCTCCATAATATTGGCTACAATACTCTGATGCAAACCAGAAAAGAGAACCTGTCACCAGGCAATTCGTTCCCAGGACAATGTTACCACTGGGCATCTAAAGTATATGGCAGGGTGACATTAAGATTGAATGGCACCGCGGCACCCCAAGATGCGCGTTGCAATAATAACCG